TTTTTTTTTTGGCTGTTTGGGGTGTGATGAGAATTTGAGAATTTCTGAATTTTGGGATGAGTTTGCTGGGATTGTGGAGAAGGTTTTTACAAAGGGATTTGGTTTGGAAAAACAAGCGGGATGGTGAAATTATTTGAACTGTTCGATTTTAAATTTTTTTCACATCTTGCAGTACACCAAACTCAAACCCATTTTGCAGTACACATCCCATTTTGCAATATTTCATCTCCAATCGAAAAACTCATTTTCCAACCCAAAAGAATTTCCAACCCAAAAGAATATTCTCGGAATATTCTCTTTTACATCAACTTTTACAATTTTTCAATACTACCCACATATTTTACAACTTTACAAATTAAACATACTTTTATATAAAATGTTAATTACTCAAATAAAAAAAAAAATATATTATATTTATTTTTATTTAACATAATTTGCTATATATGAATATGTAATGTTATATAATGTTTATTACCCAAATAGTAATTATAAAAATTATGTATTCACATTTTAGAACATGATTTAGGGCATATAGACCATATATGGTTTAGGGCATATATTTACAGTCTAGATTTTCTTAGTGAATATATTCCCTAAACCATATATGGTCTAGATTGTAAATATGAAATTAACTTGTAAATATGCTCTAATTACTCTATTATGAACAAATATAAAATAATATCATATTAATTATATTAAATATCATATTATATAATTTTCACGAAATTGGAGAAATAAATAAAATTATAACGTTATAATCGTATACATAATAAAATTGGAGAAATGAATATTAATTAAAAATAAAATTAAAAATTATAACATACAAGATAAAATAAAAAATTACAACACACTAATAAATAATATGTATATTTTACATTATTATTGTGAAATATATAAATTAAATGATAAATATAATATTTATTGTTTTAAACTTGTTGTCAAATATGCATAATCTATAAATGTTTTAGTAATATTATAACTTTTATTGTTTATTTTATATAATGACGACAAAAATAAAACACAGTAAAATCAAATGAGGTAATACAAATAAACAATATAAATAAATTAGTATATAAATAATAACCTACAAAACAAAAAGGCCCAACTTGTAATTAAAAAAAAGATTTTGCATTTTGGAACAGTGAAAACGCAAATTTGGTGTAGAAGAGGAGAGAGTTGGAAAAACTCATTTTGCGTTTTGCGTTTGGGTATCGATTGGGAGCAAATCACTCCATTTTTTGAGTTTTTGGTGTCGATTGGAGAAGGTCTTCAAACGCAAAAATGCTTCCCACTGTGACTGTAAATTTTTTTCTCCCATAGCAAAATTGTCCAATATGTCTAAATATATATGATTTTTTTACATAAAATAAAAGGTAAGTTCTGGACAAAAAAAAAAAAAATACAGAAAAAAGGGGGAGTGGAACAAAATAAAAAGCACGTATTTTGTAAATACGTTATCTGCACAATTTAATTGTAAAACGTATTTAGTGAATACGTTTTCTTTTGTAAAAAAAAATTGTAAAATGTATTCACAAAACACGTTTTACAATGAAATTGTAAAGAAAACGTATTTTGTAAATATGTGGTTTTTATGTTGGTCTAATCCCCTCTTTTTTTTTGTTTTTTGTCCACTTGTTTTTTTTTTAATTTTTAATATATAAATTACCCAAATATATATAGCATGTGCTATCGATAAGAAATTGAATCTATTAGTTATGAAAATATTTTTAAATATACTTTAGAAAATGAGAGTATTCTAAAGTTTGCTAGAAAAATCAAACATGATCATGTTTCTAAAATATTTCAAGAATAAGTAAATACACCCTACATGCTTGAAAGTTAAAAAGAAAGAAGCCATTGATACTACCAACAAAATTTATAAATATGTTAAACATAGAGTATTATTGAATAGCTATGAAAAGAGAATATTTTATGGATAAACAATTTTCAATATGTATGAATTATCAATATATAATAAATTTATTATATATTGTTCAAATAGAATATAAAATAATAATGAGTCTAATTTTTTATAAAGAATTTTCTTGGGAAAAAGCGGGATGGTTTTTCGGTTTAGTTCACAGGGGATTTTTTTGTTTCGAGAAAATGATTTTGAGCCGTGAGATCAAGTCTTATCAAGGATTAAGAATTCGTGCGTTTGGATCGCCAGCGTG